CAGTTTCGAGACCAAGTGTCCTCACGCATGAAGGAACTTAAGCTTGCTAGCACAATTGCCTTCCCTAGCCATTGAGGGCGTAGGAACGGTGGCCTGAAAGCATACCGCTGGCATACAAGTAACAAACCTTCAAAATTACTGTAAGAAAGGCAGTCAGAGGGCGAGCCAAGTATCCAAGTACTTGCCCATGGAAGCATAGCAAACAGATGTCAGCCCTTGAAGGCGGAGGTAGAGTTTTTGAAGTTACTAGTTTTCGGAATGCAAGTAGCACAAAGTAGGTGCCATTCATAGACTTCAGGGCCCAGCGTTGTTTGAATTACGTACTGTAAATACAATTTACAGACTTCAGGGCCCACTGCTGCTTAAATTACTGTAGCCGTGGAGGCTTTAGGGCAACCAAGCGTGAGGATGGTGATGATGCTATCAGTCGTCTGTCATGCAGGTACAGCGGGTCTAGGGATTAGAGACCAGAAGCATCCGAAAATCTAGCTGGGCAAGCCGCAGTACAAATCTGTATGGCGCTGTCCGGAGAAAAGGCAAAGAAGGTACGAGGAGACAGAAAGAACGCATGCGCTAGTACAAGTAGGAGTACCTCATTATCATTCTACTGACCCAAGCAAACTTTTGCAACTCTGACAGAACCTCGCCCTAAACTCTGCAACCCAACCAGCGCTCAGATGGGGTGCTGCGCCTCGGCATCGCCCGTTTTCGAACCGGACTGGGCACTAATTGGGGATTTCCCAAAATTAGGGGTACCATTTTAGGGGTCCCAATAATAAGGACTATAATATATTGGGGTCTATGTTGGGGTCCCCCTATTTTGGGAAACTACCAATTGTTTGATCCTTGAAAGTTGAGTGCATGATCTATGGGAGGCAAGGGTATACATTTGCAGTCATTGAGCTTGATCGGTATAGGGTTCCCTACATGGGGGCCCCAATACAGACCTCAACATACACTAATTAATCCGCATCATAGGGACTGCCGGAAGGAGGCAGCTAGTTCGTGCGGAAAAGCATCTGTCGAAGTTTTCAGCTTGCGGTGGCCCGAAGGCACCAACATGCATCTGAAACCACCGTGGGAATTTAAACCCTTCCCATCCACATGCTTTTGGAAGCCATATGTCAATCAAATGTCTCCCCATGATTGCAAGAAGGAAGAAGGAGTCAGATTTAGCAACTTCAACCGCAACTCTCACCTAAACTCGGACAAAGCACCCTTTTGAGACACACGCTATCTGGCTCTATGTCGTTGTGAGAGTTGCCCAGCTTTATCCTTACACCATCCTTCGGGCAACTGGTATAACCGCTGTATGATCCCTACACATGCCCTGGAATCCCCCCAACGAAAGACCACAGGACCTGGAGCCTTCGACCCCTGCCAATGTACAAGAGCTTGGATCTTGGGTTATATCAGGGTTATATGGGGGTTATATTAGGTTTACGGGGTTTACGGGTTACGGAGCTTAGAATTTAGTGTTTAGGATTGAGGCAGGGATCATCGTTTGGGTTTGCTGGAAGTATGAGCGCTTTGGAGATGTTGATTCAGGAGCTTGAGTCCGGTGCGAGATCCTTTAGGGATAGTCTGCAGCCACGCCTGCTCTAGGGTTTTGGGGGATTTAGGGGTGTAGGGTTTAGGGGTTTAGGGCTTAGGCTTTTAAGACTTCATCATAGCAACTAATCACAATCTCGGAGGGTCCCAAAGTGGGTTCATTTCAGGTTTCGGAATTCTTCTAATCAATTGGCCAGAGTCGCGTCTCTGTTGAAGGATATTCCCTAAACCCGAAGACTGACATTGTTATCAGTCCTGCTACTCTTACGATTCTCAAAAGGATTTCTGAGTATTTCTAGATTTGCTATCATTCAGAGGACGGGCTTTACATGGAAGATGTGTTTCACAATTTGTTTGTCGGCGTGTCCTTGCAAGCTTGAGATTTCAATAGCTCAATGGAGGGCACGTCTAGGGCTCTAGGGTAAGAAAATGACACCTCATAAGCACCTTTACCCCGTTATGAACCTCACTTATCCTCACATTATCCTCAGTAAACCCGATGAGGTAGTCCAGGGGGTGAGTAGGGAACTCATGAAGTATGAGTCTCCTACGAAGTTTACCTAGGTAGTGTTCCATTCCTGTTGGCCGCTGTGGCACACACAGACAAATACCTGCCGATACTCTTGGCGAGGTGTGTAGGGGTGGCTCTGTTAATCTGAGCCATAATCTAAGCCCCTTCAAGGGGAGATATATACAGGGAATTGTATAGGGGACTACTGTAGGGGCTATCTAGGAGTTTAGACTATAGGTCATCTGAGTTTGGTGCCAGTTTGCACACAAAGCTTCTGGCATGTGTCTGCTGCAGACTGTTCTCAGCTGCTGTTAAGAGTATCTAGTTGCATACTCGTGCCTACGGTAATCGCGGTAAGCAGTGTAGCAGTAGCAGTCACCAGAACAGCAAGACTTGCGGCGACAGCAGCAGCAACTCGAGGAACCGCACTGTAGCTGTGATATTCAAGATTGGCCAGTTGTCCAAATTTGAGTCCCTTCGAAGGGTTCCGCAAACATGGTCTGGCTTGTAGAAAATTTGGCAGCTATGTATATATATATATACACATGTGTGTGTACATGTATTTGTTCATTTTGTATGATGTATACTAGTCTCCCGAGAAGGGGTTATATAGTTGAAAACGCCAGCGATGCAGGGCTGTGGCGGTGGACACATACCACCACAGGACAGTCCACGAGCGGTTGAGGACCCCGGCGGTAACAGCGACAACTTTCTTTCAGGGTTTACATCCAAAACGCCCAATGTAAGTTAGGTAATGTACATATACAATTCTACAGAGATTTTAGCGAATAATGTTTATAGACTTTAAGCCCACAATCTAGGCATTTTGTCCAGACTTTTGGGGCCAGTGCGGGTAATATCCACAGACTTTAGGGTGGCCTTGTTTCGATGCAAGCAGACCAGGCGATAAGTGGTATTCAGAAGTAAGCGTTCTGGGTTTACGGTTTAGGGTTGAGGGCAGGTTAATACTACAAGTCTTGCATGACCCTAAGTACACTAAGCCTATCGGCGGCATGGGCGGGAATATGAATTTCATGCACGCAAAGTGCCGTGCATCCTCCCTCAAGGTTTTCATGTAAACTTAGGATTTCAACCAAAACTAGTGATAAACCTACCAAAGCCAAACCCTGCCCTCTGTGAGGCCCTTGTACGGATTCCTCCCAAAAGGCCACCAATGACTAGGGAAACCTTGCACACCTTTTGCCGTCTGAGTAGTCAGTGGAGGTGCGAATCCCAAGTTTTAACATGGATCATCCTTGTCTCGCGTTCAATCGACATGCCTGTGTGACCAGCACTGCGACCCTAAACGAACACGCGCTTGAGGGCTGCTTTGGACTGAGCAGCTTATAAACCCGACAGTGTATATTGGGGCCCTCCCTAAGCCATGGACCCCTAAGAAAGCGTGACAGAACCCGCAAACCCGAGCTCCCTAAACCTCAAAATTAAAAACGCGAAGACCCCGCCTCCCTTCCACGCAGACCGCATAATTTTTGAGCTCCCAAACCCAATGAAAAACCCATAAGTCATTGAAGCCCATAAATCGCCTAAAACCAAATTCCTTCAGCGCGCATCACTCCGCGTTGACATCCCAAAGGGTCCAGGGACCCAACTATTGCCGTTTCCGGTCCCCAACATCATAAATGTAGTATTTGGGCCCTAAACCCTATTATTTGTGTCCTTGGACCCTAAACCCTAAACCGTAAACCGCGTCTTTTAGGGCTTGCTTGGTAGGAATCTTCGGGAGCTGGACTCGACAACCAAGGCTGATTTAAGGGTCTAGGGTTTAAGGTTTAGGGTTTAGGGTTTGGGGTTTAAGGTTTAGGGTTTAGGGTTTTAGGGTTTAGGGTTTAGGGTTAGGGTCATGGCTTCAGAATTTAGGACCAGAATTCAGGGCTTATTGTTGCTCAGAAGTGGGACCTCTTTAAAACCCTTAAAAAGCACGTGGCGATTACAAAGGGACTTTAGGGTCCCCAATTTAGAGTCTAGATGGATGATCTCGAGAAATTTGCATCTTGAAATCTTGACTAGACGGGAAGCTTATCAACTTCTTTTCCTTATGCCATTTCTATGTTCACCAAAGCTCCATTTTGACTTTATAGTCTTCTACATTGGGGGAACTTGGGGATTATTAGAGGTTCCATTTTGGGGGTCTGGGTAGAAGTAGAGCAGCGAAGCAAAGGGCCCGACTGGGCTTTGCAATGTTTACCCCATCTGGGGTTTAGGGGTTTGGGGTTTAGGGTTTTGGGGCTTAAGGTGGGGTTTGGGGGTTTGGGGTTTAGGGTTTGGGGGCTTAAGGGTTGAGGGCTTAGGGTTGCAAATTCTGTCCTCTCTGAAGCCCCAAGAATGCGCGAGGACGCGGGATGCCTACCTTGCGAATCCCTCGTACATCCCATATCCTGTACAGGCCTATGAAGTTGGAATAGTTTATGCAGCTATGGTGTAGATTCTATGTATACATGGATGATTTATGATGATTTTGGTGTAGACTCCTTCTGGTAAATTATACCTCTACAACTCCCATCTTTGGAAGCTCCAGAAAGACTCATATCTGAACCCACCTTCCATCTCATTTCCGAAAAACATCCCGTCTCATTCTTCGTTGGACTATACAAGAATCCCCTGAATACCTTCCGTAAATTTATATCTATTCACACAAAACGTACTTCCTACAACCCCCTGAACTTCCTGAAGTTCGTTGCTCAGGTGCCCTTCATCTTGATAGAGCTCACAGGACCCCGAGCGCGCCGTAGACGTCTTGCATGAAGACTGCACGGCACGCAGAACACTCTTGGCACGGTATATACATAAGTTGTGTTCTGTAGCTATGTAGGTATACGCTTGTTGTTCTTTCTGCCCACACATGGAGACCCAAAGTCACAAGTCCTAAACTGATGCGTCCAACATGCTAACGCCTTCTGCCCATCCCCTGCAGATTCAGGAGAGGGGGATGGCGAGGGCGAGATAGAGGTGACTGGCAAGGATGAGAATCTCGGGCCTAAACAAGCAAATTGTACGGTATCAGGCTCGGATGATCGGCCTTACCTACTACCATTTTGATGCATGACATCCTATGCCGCCATGTTGATACTAGGAGGCAGGGGGTAGGGCGACTTGATTACATGATTTGCAGATCTTCGGCTGGACATGCAACTCATTTTTTGGCCCTGGACTGCGCGTTCCGCATCCTAGGTATGGAGTATACGAGGCGGCTGCTTTCGACACTGCTCCAGTTTGCGTCCTCAAGAACACGTGTTGGAGCATGCGCTTGAGCATAGGGTGTTCTTGATGACTATGTGTTTGGGGGCAAGAGGGTGGAAGTAGGGTTCATCACAGCGCAGCATCAGCGCATCCCCTGACAAGAGCGCATCTCTCAGGGATGGTGGCCAGTTCTGGGCAACCTTACTCAACCTTGCTACGAATGCTGGTTCTTGTGAAGTGCTAAGATTGCAGCCTGGCTACCCTCATCCTCGACCCAGACTCCCCATTTTGCCATATAGCTCTTTGCCTGAAATGGTCGACCCTGAATAACCATCAATGTTTCTTCGCCCATCCGTTCGCTGAAAGGGCCTTTAATAGTGTTGGAAAAAGTTGCTAGATGAGAGCTGGTATGTCCTTCTAGAGAGAGGCTGCGTCAGTGTGATGGTCCACATGCAGAGCATTTGAACGAAGACCAAGTAAACAGTACTTAGTGGGAGTAAGGGATTTAGAGGGACGTCCTGGCCTCAACCCATGAGTAATCAGAGATATCAGAGGGCTGTGGCAACCCCAACCCCGAAAGTTAGGAAGCTATAGCTATCGGGTGGGGTTGCCCAAATCCTCAAGGCAGAAGCCTTAACCTTAAAACCCACTTATTAAGTACTTTGCAGGCTTTGGACAACTTCTTCATGAACACCTGGGCCTGTGAAAAGCTAGACGCAGGTAGCCGGCCCAGGTTGCTAACAGGGTGTAGCGTTTAAGGGTTGAGGGCTTAAGGGTTTAAGGGCTTAGGGCTTAAAGGTTTAGGGTTTAAGGGCTTAGGGCTTAAAGGTTTAGGGTTTAAGGGTTTAGGCTCCAGGGACTCCTGGCTGGAGGATGTGGCCTGGGTGTGATGAGGCTGCAACAGATGCGTGTTACCGTACATCAAGACATGCAGGCCTCCCTTGGGCGTTTGTGATTCTGTCTCTCATAAATGGTAGTTTCCCAAAATAAGGGGACTCCAATATATACCCAAAATATACTATAGTCCTTCTTAGAGGGAGCCCCAAAAAGGTACCTTAATTTAGGGAAACTCCCAAATGTCTCCAATGTGGCACCCAAGGAGCCTGATTCCGCTCGATTTCGGAAAATACCTTGCATAATGCTTCGGATCCTAGTGACGTTGCAGGTATAGCAGTATATCCCTTACTTCAGGGGTTTGGGCCCTGTGAGTAGACAGGGATAGGCCCATCTTGAGCTACGTAGCTGTTTGAGAAAGAACTCCAGCCTTTGAAGCCCCCCTATCCGTATTAAACATGCAAAGTCCTGCATATCCCGTTCTTGAAGCTGAACCGCTTTCATTCTGATAATATAATGCATTTTGGGTCATGCAGCTTTCTGTGAATTAGCAGTAGGGCCTGGGGGTATTGGAGAAGGGATTCTGATCCTAGGCCGGACATCACATGTGAACTCTATCTACACTGCCTAGGGTCAGGGGTGTAGGGCATAGGGTTTCGAGTTTAGGTTTTGAGGTCTAGGGCTCGTCACAAAACACATAGCGATTGAGGGCTTTGTATTTCCTCTTGAGGTCTATCAATGCATCTGCCGGCAAACGCCCACGTTCCCAGGTGATGACACAGAAGATACCAAAATCCCGTTCTGCTCCGCCCAGTTCCCTGTCCGCATCAGAGTCAGCACTGCGAACAAATGCCTCCTCGCGCTGAACCTTCACATGCTGTTTGCATTGGCATCAAACAGGCAATCATTATTCTCACGAACGTGCTTTCAAGACTATCACTGCGAGTATACTTGCCGTTGCATTTGGTTTTGCACATGCTGACGGTGTACACCGCATGTTCGGGCTAGGCATGCCTTGGCAGTAGTTCTTCTTCGCAGGGCGATTTCTGGAGCAATCTGGCAATGGAGAATCAAACGGCATAGGAAGTTGAAGTGAAGTGGAAGCTGGGCTTATGGAGAGCGAAAATCACAGGGTCACATTTTTTTTTATTTGGAAGGTGTATCACAAGGATTAAAGTATATTGGGCTATATTATGGCAACCCCAATGTCAAGACTGACTTAGACAAAAGAGATCCCTAGGAGACAGGGTAGTTGTTCAAAATACTTGTCCCCAAAATGGCCATAATGTCGGTTCACTATTTGATTGGGACTCGTTTCAAGTTTAAGGAATTGTATTCCTAATGGTCCCTTATTTACAAGGACATTTAGAACAACCCCCACATGCTCTGTTGGCGAGGTATCGCTGGCCAGGATTTTCCGTGAAGGGAGACGACGGCCTGAACAACCAGGGTCTCATGACCATGAGGCTCATAGACCCATGGCTGACTACTTAGGGTTTCGGGTTTAGGGTTTAGGGTTTAGGATTTAGGGTAGGGTTTAGGATTTAGGGTTTAGGGTTTAGGACTGTTTTGGATATTCTTGGCAGCTTGGTATGTGCACCTTTACTTTGTACTTTGGGGTTCCTCTATAGTCCCCCTTAAGTAGATAGACTATGGGATATATGATACATGGGATCTTATTATAAAATACCCAAATCCATATTCTATCTACTTAAGAGGGACTAGAACCCTATCACAGTCAAAGTGTAGAATTTGGTGCCTCGGGAGCGCAGCAACAGGCTATAGCCTGCGCTTTCGTATTGGGTTCAGGGTTTAGGGTTGAGGGCGAGGAAACTCACACAGAGCCCTTTTGAATGGGCCTAGTGATTCCATGTGAGCTATAGTCTGAACTGCTTAAAGGGGGCTATGTAAGGGATTACATAGGGGACTAGTCTGGAGTTATTGAGGGGGATGTTAGAATTTTGGATAATAGCTCATGCGGACATTTTTCAGAATCCCTAATACCCCCCCCCATCATTCTGCTATTATCGCTCAATGTCCTTTAGTTCTTTGGGAAGTTCCCTTGGTTTGAAGGAGAAGGATGGAGTTCGGCACAGGCGCGGTTTAGGGTTTATGGTCAAAGTCTTGCGGTGTAGGGTCAGGCCATCCATTTAACCTCTTGGTGCCACAAGGGGGTTCTATGGGTATTATACAGGGTACATGAGCTTTAGGGTCTAGTAGGGTTCAGGTTCCAGGGCCTGAATAGTGTGATTGCTGGCATCATATCATCCAAGCCCGTGCTTAAAAAAGGGCCCAAATAGTAAGAATATAGTGAAGCATCAAATGGAACATGCCATGCAAGATGAAATGGACACTGGGATGACTATATGGATTCAGGGTCTGGGGCTAGGTAGCCAGATCACGCGCTACTAGTGCTGCCTGTGTCCGTACGTATAGAAGGGTATGAGATATTACCTGGATAGAATTCTTGGTTTTTCCCCTACCTACTCCTCTTGGAGGTGATGAGTCAGAAGCCGCAGCGGGCATGATAGGAGTCCCGATAGCACATGTGCGCGAATTTCCCCATGAGCAGATTTCTGCATCCAAGTGCGCTTGGCTATAAAACGACCACCCAAAACCAAGCCTAAACCCTAAACGCCCAGGACTTCATGTGCGGAACCCTGAGCTGGACCTTGGCAGTTGTGAATGGCGGAAACGTGGGCGAGAATCGGGACACCTGGCTTGAAAAAGCGTGCTTAGGGTTTAGGGTTCGCTCCGCGG